CTCAGCAAAGCCGAGAGGGAGGCCCGACAGGGGCCCGTTGGGAAGTCTTCCTCAATTAGTGAACTAACTTGCTCTTGCTCTTGCCCTCCCTCCCTCCCTCCCTCCTCCCTCCCTCCTCCCCCCCTCCTCCTCCTCCTCCTCCTCCTCCTCATCCTCCTCCTTCCTCCGTCCTCTTCCTCCTTCCGTCTTCCTCCGTCCTCCTTCCTCCTCCTCCATCAGCAGCAGCATCAGCATCCTCAGCAGCATCATCACCATTAGCATCGTCATCATCAGCATCCTCATCCTCATTTTCATCGTCATCATCGTCCCCTTCATCACCATCATCACCATCATCACCATCACCATCACCATCATCATTATTATCATCATCACCACCATCACCATCATCATCATCATCATCATCATCATCACCACCATCATCATCCTCATCATCATCATCATCATCATCATCATCATCATCATCATCATCATCATCATCATCATCATCATCATCATCATCGTCGTCATCATCATCATCGCCATCACCACCACCACCGCCAGCATGATCATCATCATCATCAGCATCATCGGCAACATCAGCAGCAGCACCATCACCCTCGGCTCCCGCGCCCGGGCGCCGGGCGCCCGCCCCCTCCAGCGCGGCGCGGCGCGGCGCGGCGCGGCGCGGCGACCGCCGACTGGCCCTGCTCGGAGCGGCGGCCCCGGCCTTGGCTGCGGCGGGGGCCGGGGGCGCGCGCCGCGCCACCCCGTCTCGGAGGCGGCGACAGGGGCGAGTAGCTCGGGGGAGAGCAATACAGCCAGGACGCTGAGACGAAGGAAGAGTTTGGATTCGGAAGGGGCTCGATGTTCCTCACGTCCTTCCGTGGCTGTTCCTCTAGCCCCTCTGGTGCACCCAGGCTTTTTTGAAGCCACTGAGTGGCGTCGTTCCTGATGTAGCGTCCCTTCTTTCAGCAGCCCGGCTGTACATGTGCCCAGGGGCGCCGATGATCTGCGTCTCCGACAAGGCTCCCGGGCGAATACGCGTAATGCCCGCCCTTGGGCCATTTCGCCGCCGACCCTCGGTTGCACGTGAGAGTGACCTTTCGCCAGAGTGACCTCTGGTGCGGGCCCACGTTTTTGGGGGTCTTGGTGGGTATGTTCAGCCGTTTTCGGCCTCCGGAGGCCCTTACCGGGCCTCAGGACCGTCCGTCAAAGACGACTCTGGACGAAAGAGAGGTCCCGGGGAAGGGGTCGAGGCCTCTGGGGGTCGACGTTGCGAAGAAATCACGACGTCGTGGGTATGGGAATGGGGCTCCCCGATTGCCGAGCGCGATGCGGTAGTAGCGTCCTGCGCGCTTTTGTGTTTGGTCCCCCCCGCGGCCCCCAAAGTGCCGCGTACCAGAGGTCGATGATCATCAGGACGTGTTAGCCCCATGTGTGTTTAATCCGTTCAGTTCAACTACTATATCATTACATCGCCTTTCGTCGTATTGAAGGGTCTCAATGGGCAAACACACGTTGGCGCTAACGGAGGAGGAGGAGGAGGAGGAGGAGGAGGAGGAGGAGGAGGAGGAGGAGGGGGGGAGGGGGAGGAGGAGGAGGAAGAGGAGGAGGAGGAGCATCGAAGAGGTCACTCTTGCCCAGGGTCGCTCCTGCGTGCAGCCGATCCCTGGGGCTCGTTTCGGCTCCTCCGGCTCGACTCGATTCGATCTCGATCGGTTTCGATTCGGTCCGAGTTCGGATTCTGATCTGGGTCCCGCTGTCTCGATGGAGGCCTCACTCGGCGGCGGGCGCGGGGGGGAAATGAGAAGGGGCGGGACTTCCGAGGCTTCTGAGAAGTTTCTGGACTTCTGAGAGGGCTTCTGAGAAGTTCTGTCTGTATTCGAAATAGGCCAAGGAAACGTCTCAGAAGCCCCCCGGACTTCTAAGAAGTCCCGCGGCCTTCTGAGAAGGCCTTCTCCTTCTCATTTCCCCCCTGGGCTCGTCGCCTACTCACGGTCGGGCCGAGGTACAAGGTCGAGGTCGGCTCGGCGAGGGTGCTTTGGTGTTCTTTGTGGCTGAAGGATGTTATTGTGCATCCCCCGGGAGAGTGCCCTCCAGTGTTCTTCACTGTGGCCGGCGGAGGGTCTCATGTTCTCGAAGGTTGTGATTCTGTCCCAGGCTGGGTAGTCGAAGGCCAGACTGTCAGATTGGATTGGGCCCCAAGGGCCAATCTGGCCCGGCCAAATTGGATGATTTGGGTTATTCGCCAGACTGGATTCGCGTTGACTCCCTCGCCAGATTGCCCCCGTTTGCCAGATTGGGCCTGCCAGATTGGCGCCAGATTGGCTTCGACTACCCAGCCAGGTCCGGCCGTATTGGCTTGCCGATCTCCGCCGATCCGTCTTCTCCCGACTTGGCTGCCGAGGTTTCCGCCGATCCGATTCCTGCCGATGGCCGGCCCGACGTCTCCATTCAGTTCTGGGCTCGCCTGCCTCCCTCCCCCAGACCCCCTCAAGTCGTGAAAGGATCATGACGGCAGGTCTCCGGGCCATGGTTCGGAATCTGATTAGTAGACATTGATTGTATAGGTATTTATTGCGTGTTTTTTTGTTTTTTTGTTATTTTGTTATCTTCCTCCTGGGTCGCTCTTTGACGGCCCCAGAGGGCCGTCGAAGAGCGACCCAGGAGGAAGAGTTCGCCCTGGTGAAGCAGGGGTCGCGACCTCCAGAGTCCCAAGCCGAGGCGAGCACGCACAGCGGGGCCGCGAAGTGTCAAGCCTGATCACGCGTGGCATCGCCATCGGTTCTTGCTCCCACTCCTGCCACCTCGTCCTCTTCCCCCTACTTTTAAGTCGGGCCCATCCCTCTACAGGAGGAATATTCAAACATAGTTTAAAAAATAGTCTTGGGATGATGTTTTGACAAGTTTTGAACACTTTGGGTGTATTGTTTGACTATTTTTATGTTTCGTCCTATATCCGCCTGTAGGGGGACATGCCCGACCTAACCCTACTTCTTGCCCTCCTCCCCTTCGTCTGAATAACTTCGGCCTCGTACTCGCATGGCTCATCCCAGGGAAACGAGTTCGTCGTACTGTGTTCCGCGATTTGTGGGATCCGGTCCGATCATCGCGAAACTCTTCTACGTCTGAGCGTTCTCCCCCTTCTTCACTCGCGCGGTCGCCCTTGTCTTCGTCTCTCCTGCTTGCACGCCGGACAATTTGCCGATCAGTTGCCCCGATTAGCCCCACGCTGGTGCGGATTGCCTTTGCCTCGCCGCCGACGGAAAAAGTTCCGCGATTTGTCATGGGCACGCGTGCCGCAAGGCATCGTTGCGCCATCACCTCGATTGGTTTTGACGTCGCTCAGTGCACGGTGTTGTCAATTATTTTGCTCTTTGGTGGACTCCGCCCATCGGGCTGTCCGCCAGCATTCGAGCGACAATCGATCACTTCGAGACCCTCGCCGCCCTGCCTAAATCTCCCAGCACTGTGCCCCACAGCGCAGCCAATGGTAGAAGCCTCTTCAGCTGATCGTCGAAACCATGAGCTGGGTGCCAGTAAGTTGCTTGCACATTCGCATGTTGCATGTTTTCCTTGACGCACTTCGGTATTCGGTCGGTTACGGCCCGTCTTGTTTTTCAAGGCTATCGTCCTTGGTTCCTGGATGTGTAGTCGTGTCGGTGTCGCTGTGCGTGGACTACTTTCCGCCGCCTCTTGCAAGTCCGGGAGTAGAGACATTCCCATGTATCTACTATTTGTTGGCCCCGCTTCTGCTGGCCTTGCTGCCGACTTCGCGTTGTTCCTTCCGTCATCTTCGGTCTCGTCTGTTTCTGTTCGCGCTTGCCTGTTTCTCTTCGTTCCTATGCGCAGTCCTCGGTCATGTTGCCTCGCTCTGCACATCGATGTTGCAGTCATGGCGCATCATATTGAAACCCAAGCTTCACGAAGGTCTTGGCATCAGTGAGCTGGTTCGGGACATCTTGTCGAACTCACCCATTGGTAGGCCTACCTCATAGCATGCTGTCCAAGTCGATGGGCTCCAGGGCTGACTGTGTTGGGGGTGTGGAGCGGGGCAAGTTTCGTAAGAATTGGCCCCAACTTCATCGTCCCGACGTTTGTTGAGAGCGGGGGGGAGGGGGAGGGGCCGCTGCTCGTGCTGTATGCCCGTCTTGTGTGCTGACTCTGGGACCTCGCGAGCCCTCAAAGGCTCACCACTGGCAGCAGATTGCCGACGTGAATGTCAACCGTGTGTTGTGTTCGATCGCCCGTGATGCAGGGCCCGTGTTCTGTGTTCGGACGCCTCTTGTGGGTGCCCGCTCGTATTCTTGCTACCTCCCGGCCCCCCCTTTCACCTGCTCACGTTTCACAGCTCGCGCACACACACCCAAAGCTCATGCAAAATGCGGCGGTGGGTATCGAGGGGGGCTCTGTCAGGGGCAGCGAGAGGAGGGGGATGGGCTCGGCGGGGGACGCATCGACCCGACATCGCCCATTCGTCGCCGACAGGAGGCCCACAGCCCTCCCGTCCCAGTAACGCTCGGATTCGCCATCGGGCGTATATCGCCGATCTATCGGCGACGTATCGCCGATTGCAGATCGATCCTTTCCCGCCTGCGCCAGTCCCCCCCCCCCGAATTTTTGTTCCCCCATGAAAGGAACGCCGCCCCTCTTCTTCACCGTCCTCCGCGTCCCGCCCCTCCTTCCCTCTGCGGGAGCAGTCTCGCTTGACCTGTGGAAGGACCCGGGCATCGCTCGGACGCGTGCATTTGCTCTCGGCCAGGACCATCGAGGAGCACCCTGGACCGTCGAGCAGAAGAGAGCACGCACGGAACCGAAACATGCACAGAAAATGGACGCTTGAGCGACGGCGAGCCTCTTTCCGTCCCCCTGCGAGGCAGCTCCGTCTGACCTCTGAAAGAGCATACCTTTTCATCGGTAGCTTGGGAGCCGCGCCCCCCCCCCCGCGCACTGCAGCGTCTCTCGTCACGTCTCGTCTTTCTCCCTCCCTCCCTTCGGCGGCGGGAAAAAAGAGTGGGGTGATGACTGGCGGGGATGGGTATCTCATGGCGGGGGCCGCAGATCTCCCCAGGTTGCATGGCGCCTCTTCTTCTCTGCTGTGGTCCCCGGGCCCCCCCTTGGACGCCCCCGATCCTCCTCGGGGGGCCCAGGCGGGGACGCCGCGCCAGGCCCGGCTGGCCCAGTTCGAGGAGGCCATCCAGGAGGCCGCGGCCCCGCGCCGCCGCGCCGGGCGCCCCCGGAGGTCCCCACGCCACCGCCCTCCAGAGCCCGGGAGGAGAGGTGGCTCGGGCAGAGGCCGCGGTGGGAGAGCGGGCTCGGCACCGCTGGGGCGGAAGGCTCCGCCCCAGCGGTGCACGGAGTGCACGGCGGCCTGGGGCACGCAGCGCCTGGCGGTGCAAGGCGTGTCGAGGCGCGCGGTCCCGCGCGGCGCCGGCGTCGGCGGGGGCGCGACAGGTTTCCAACAGGGCAGGGTGTTTTGGCGATGCCTGTCCCGCAGCAGGCGAGCCCCAGTCGGGATCCGTCGGATCCTGCCAGGCGCTCGTGCCAGCCAGTCTCCGTCTGGGAAGCAGGCCCTCGGGGGCCCCTCGGCCAGGTCTCCCGTCCGTGGACCGGCCCGTCCTCCCCCTCTGCGCGCACGGTGCTCCGAACGGAGCGGCGGAGCTCGTGGACGCACAGCGCCGCTGCCACCCCCCTGCGTAATTACCCTTCCAGGTGCACGGAGATGGTTTCTGAGTAGACATCGAGCCGCACGGGCGAGAGCGAGCGGCGAACGCCTTCTCCTCCTCCTGCTGCTTCTCCTCCTCCTCCTCCTCCGCCTCCTCCTCCTCCGCCTCCTCCTCCTCCGCCTCCCCGCCTCCGCCTCCTCCCGCCTCCGCCTCCGCCCCTCCTCCTCCTCCTCCTCCTCCTCCTCCTCCTCCTCCTCCTCCTCCTCCTCCTCCATCTCCTCCTCCTCCTCCTCCTCCTCCTCACCCTCACCCTCAGGCCCACTTGACGCCCCCATGCGGGGTTTGGGGGAGTATCTTGGGGGGGAGGCCCTCTCCGAGGCCCCCTGGGGCCATCCTCGGAGCCTCTTGAGACCCTCCTGGCCGCGCGGTTGCGCCTCTAGGGGCTTCTCAGGGCGGCCAGGAATTCGAGGCACACACGCAGATACCAGGCGGCTGTTCTTGGCGCCGCGGAACCCCTGCTTGGCAGGACGACGGGAGCAGAATTGGAGAGACAAACGACATATACAGGTGTCGAGGTCGGCTCGGGGAGGGCACCCTAGTCTTCTTCGTGTGTGTATCTCGTATGTGTTTGTGCATATTGGGGAAGGGTACCCTCGGTGATCTTATGATTTGGGGTGTTTTGGCCCACGCTGTTGAAGGATGTTAGGATGTCTTTGGTCCAGCAGGATCGTTCGCAGCACTGCGCCCCAAGGGGGCCGGCGGACTACAAAGCACGCTTGTTGGATCAATGTGCGTGTGTTGTTTGACAGGGGTGTCGGTTGAGTCGGCACCAGTATCGTTTGTATTGTACGATTGCAGGAGTAGTGTGATCGATCGCACATGATGAGAATGCGTGAGAATACCCTGAGGGGAACCATGATACGTCCGACCTCGGCACGGTGGTAGGGTGCAGTCCTCATTAGGACAGGGAGTGCAAGCTGGGTGTCGAAGCACATGGGCAGTGATGCAACTCTTTGGGCAGTGGTGTCGCACAGCGGATTTCCAGGCGCTTGCTGGAATTGCCGCGAGCTTCCGAAAACCATACACATGGCTCTCGCAGACCCTCTCCGCGTGGTTCTACAACTCCTTCGGCCACGATTGCTTCGGCCTGCCCCGGGGGACGTGTGCTGGCCCGCGGACGCAGTTCCGAAGAAGACGGCTGGAAGACCGCACGCCGCACCGGATGATCACCCGGGTGCCGGGCCATTTGCGCAAAAAGACATACTTCCAGGGGCAACGATAGGGGGGGATAGGCAGAGGGGGGGATGCATCGACCCCCGATCGCCCATTGATCGCCGATAGGGGCCCGGTAGCCCAGCCTGCCCAGGAAGGTGCGGACTCACTATCAGAGGCTTCTCGCCGATCTATCGCCGATGTATCGCCGATTCCAGGTCGATGCATCCCCCCCTATGCTTATCCCCCCCTATCGTTGCCCCTCATACTTGACGGCACAACAGGATGCGGCTCGAGGGCGGCCGGCGGGCCGTGTCCAGCACTACAGCGTTCAAGATACGACTAATGTATGAAGCTGGCCGAGTTTGGCCAACTCGTGTTTCCGCAGCCACGACGCGTGCAATCCGTACAGCGATTTCGTCTGCACGCAGGTTTCGAAGATTTGCAACCTCCGTTGTGTGGACAGGTTGGAATGAGACCAGACTCGGGCAAGGGTGTCGAACTCAGCCCTGGTGCAACCAAGCCGCTTGCTCAGCTCAGAGGCGATGGATCGGCCGCCAAGACAAGACATGCGTATACACACATGTATGTATATGTATATGTATATGTACATGTTGTATATGCATATGTATATGTATATGTATGTATATGTGTATGTGTATGTGTATATGTATATGTATATGCATATTATACGTATGTATGTGTGTATATATAGGGCGCACTCTGCTGGGGGGGAGAATCGTCGTGCGCCCTGCGGCCCATCGGGAACCATAGGACACCGACCAGGAATTGCGGACTGTGGCATGCGTGCCATGGGGCACCGAGCCGGAACGGCCGACCTCGACACGCAGCGCCAGACATGGGCCACCAGCGCGCAGGCATGGGCCACCTGCGCCCCGACCACATGGCACCGACTGGGAACGGCCGACTGCCAGCGTCAACCAGAGGGCACCAGTGCACAGGGCACCAGCAGTTCGGCGCCGACCAGGATCGACGGATTGCAATCGATCCAGGGGGACGACCACAAGCTGGAGCTGGCCTGAGGTCTGAGGTGGACCGACACTAGTTGCGGCCAGCAGGAAGGGCGGACAGGTTCGAGGTTCAGGGTTCGGGAGAGATGCTTGTGTTTTCTGCTCCTGATGGCCGTTTTCGGGCCCCAGGACCGTAATATCGGATCTGAGGTGAAATTATCCCGGCAAAGCAACCTAACAGCGATGTGTAGAAGCATATCTGAAAGCATTCCCTTTAAGATTCAGATGAAAATCCAGTTGTCGAATTCTGCTGTTCTCGCAGTCGTAGTCGCATTCGCGATGACAGTCGCAGCGGCAACGGCAGTCGCAGTCACAGCCTCAGCCTCAGCCTGCCTCCTCCTCCTCCTCCTCTTTCTCCTGCTCCCTCCTCCTCCTCCTCCTCCTCTTCCTCCTGCTCGTCCTCGTTCTCGTCCTCCTCGTCTTGCTCGTCCTCCTCCTCCTGGTGCTCTCTCCTCCTCCTCCTCCTCCTCCTCCTCCTCCTCCTCCTCCTCCTGGTGGTCCTCGTTCTCCTCCTCCTGGTGCTCTCCCCCCCCCTCCTCCTCCTCGTCCTCCTCCTCCTCCTCCTCGTCCTCCTCCTCCTCTTCCTCCTCCTCCTCCTCCTCCTCCTCCTCCTCTCCTCCTCCTCTTCCTCATCCTCCTCCTGGTAGTCCTCCCCCTCCCCTCCTCCTCCTCCTCCTCCTCTTCCTGGTCGCCCTCGTTCTCGTCCTCCTCGTCTTGCTCGTCCTCCTCCTCGTGATGTTCTCTCCCCCTCCTCCTCCTCCTCCTCCTCCTCCTCCTCCTCCTCCTCCTCCTCCTCCTCCTCCTCCTCCTCCTCCTCCTCCTCCTCCTCCTGGTGGTCCTCGTTCATCTCCTCTTGGTGCTCTCCCCCCCCCTCCTCCTCCTCCTCCTCCTCCTCTCCTCTCCTCCTCCTCTCCTCATCCTCTGTCCTCCTCCTCCTCCTCCTCCTCCTCCTCCTCCTCCTCCTCCTCCTCCTCCTCCTCCTCCTCCTCCTCCTGGTACTCCTCCCCCTCCCCTCCTCCTCCTCCTCCTCTTCCTGGTCGTCCTCCTCCTCCTGGTCGTCCTCCTCCTCCTGCTCGTCCTCCTCCTCCTCCTGCTCGTCCTTCTTCTCCTGCTCCTCCTGCTCCTCGTCCTGCTCCTGCTCGTCCTCGTCCTCCTGGTCTTGCTCGTCCTCCTCCTCGTCGTGCTCTTGCCCCTGCTGAAAATGTAGCCCAGGAATGGGAGTTTTGGGAAGTCGAAGAGCACGAAGTTGCCTACAGTTGGCTACGGGCATTCAAAATGTGGCCCGGGAATGGAGTTCTGGGAACTCGAAGAGCACGAAGTGGCCTACAGTTGGCTCCGGGCATTCAAAATGTGGCCCGGGAATGGAGTTCTGGGAACTCGAAGAGCACGAAGTGGCCTACAGTTGGCTCCGGGCATCCAAAATGTGGCCCGGGAATGGCGTTCTGGGAACTCGAAGAGCACGAAGTGGCCTACAGTTGCATCCGGCCCCCCAGAATGTGGCCCGGGAATGGCGTTCTGGGTTGTCGAAGAGCACGAAGTGGCCTACAGTTGCATCCGGCCCCCCAGAATGTGGCCTGGGAATGGAGTTCTGGGAAGGCGAAGAGCACGAAGTGTGTGACTGTTGGTGAAAAACGAGCCCGGCTCATGCCGCCCGGAAACGCCCCAACACCTGCCCGGACCCCCCTGTGGAGTGATCTGTGAGCTCTTTTGAGACCACTAGAAACCTATCAGTCTTCGCTGTTAGGTAAATTGCACAAGATGAAATTCGGGAGGGATCCTGACAGATTTTCTGGGTCCCACCCAGTTCAGACCCCAGGCTGTCTTCAAACTACAAGGCACCAACGCTTGGGGTTCCTGGCACCAGACTTGGGGCACCGACCGTCAGCGGCCGATGAGGGCATTTTCTTTACAGAACAACTGACAACCACGAAGCGCACGTGTTGGTCGGCTGTTTGGGGGACCAGAATACGGCACAGCAGCGTATGGAAGACACGTTATAGTAAGGTCAGTCTTCAATTCCTTCACAGGTTTTCTACCCCTCAAACTTCGGATTCGACCATCCGTAGCCACCTGGGCTCAAGGCAGCGAGGCTCAAGAATCAGGCGTACTAGCCGTCTGCATTCTTTGCGTCTGGTATCCAGCTGCCTGCGGCAAGTCCCGCCGCCGCTGACGAACAGGGGGCACGCAGGGCCGTCGCATGCCACCTCGGGCCCCATGAAGGCTTCGGAGGCCTGTCAGGTGCCTTCGGGGGGGGGCCTTTGGGGAGCCTCTTGGGGGAGCCTCTTGGGGGGCCTCTGGGCGGCGTCTTGGGAGCGCCTCGCGCCTCGGAGACTATCCCGCGGGCTCCTGGGGCCATCTGAGGGCGCGTCCGGGCCGTGTGGACGCTTTCGGAGTGCGTACCGGGGGGCTCTCGGGGTCGTCTCGGGCCCCTCCTTAGGGGACCTCGAGGGGCCGACTTGGGGTCCTCATGGGTCGCTCTCTGGCCATCTTGGAACCCTCATGGACCGACTTGGGGCTATTTTGAGGCCCTCGTGGGCCGTCTTGAGGCCGTCTTGGAAGCTTCATTGGCCGTCTTGAGCTGACGTAAGCCCGACAAAGTGAGAATGCGCAAGCCCAGCAGCAACCTGAGGATCGTCAATGATTCTGGCATGTGGCATCTTCAGGCACTCCTGGAGGTTCTCCTGGAGCTCTCTTGGGCCGTCTTCAGGGCTTCTTGGGCCGTCCAGGAGCCATCGCGGGCCGCTCCGTCTTGGGGCCACTTTGGGCCGTCAAGGAGGCACTTCGGGCCATGTTGGCAGCCTCGATGGCCTACCTGGCCTGTGTTGGAAGCCATATGGGGCATCTTTGACGCCTTGGGGAACGTCAGGGAGTCATCGAGCCGCCCAGGAGGCCTCGGGAGGAGGGGAGGGGGCGGTGCACGCGGCGAAGTGTGATTGGGGGGGGCCCTTGGCCCTCTCTAGAAGGTTACAGGAACCCAGAGATCCAACGCATCGAAAAATTCAATGCTGAGGTTTTTCGTCTTTTTCGGCCTCTGGGGGCCCTCGCTGGGCCCAAGGACCGTCAAAAAACGACTCAGGATGCAAGACCGGTCCTGGGGAATGAGTCGAGACTTTTGGGGACCCCGTATCGAACAGATCAAGACATCGGATCTCTAGGAACCCCACCAGCCAGCATGTGCGGAGTCGTAGCTTATCGCGCTCGCCTTGACAATGATGAGCGCTTTGTTCGGCCGAGCTCTGCTTCAAAACGCTGCGACGATGAGTGCATCCCTCAGCGTCGGGGATCTTGCGTGTCAGTGCATCGAGATCTGCGCGAAAGGAGGGGCCGGTGATGAGGGCAGCAAGAGAAGGCCTGGGCCGCGAGAGCCGCTGACGTGGTATGCTGCGGCGCGCGAGTCGTGTGGCAAAGCTTGTGCCCTGGACTTCGAGCGGACGAGCCGCATGGCTTTCGCTGGCCTCTGTGTGCAAGGTCCACTCATTCACTGGCTGTACCACTGCATCGATCATTTCTTGGGGAAGAAGCAGAATTTGGCCACCGTGCTGCGGAAGATCTGCGCCAGCTCTGCCTTCGCACCGGTGCACATCTGCGCAGTCTTCGGCACCGTCGCAGCTCTGCGAGGAGACAGTGCTGAGGAGATTGCGACGAAAGTCACAGTGGATTTTCCAAAGGCATACCTCGCTGGTTTCTTTTATTGGCCAGTGGTGAACTTGGGAAACTTCCTGATAATAACCGCCCCGGAGACGCGCGTGAAAGTGCACAGTGCTGCGAGTCTATTGTACAGCGTATTCTTGACTTTTGCTGCCAACACGCCTAATTGGCATGCTGTGCTTTTTCAATGGCAGGAATGAATGTCGCAAGTTGGTGGAAATGGTGCTCTCGCACGCTATGCTCGCACAGGATCATACTCGGAAGACTATGCGGGATTGGTAGCAGGTGTTGCTGGCAAGAGGCAGACGGTAAATGAGGCTTTCACCAGCCTTATCGCCCACTCGAGCGTGCTTGCTGGTGTACACTAACTCGTCGTTTCCGCAGGAGCGGGATCTGACGTGGTCGCTTGCGAAGCTCAGGTGCCTGCGCCGTGTTTTTGTCGGAGGCTGCCAGAAGGCTTCGTTGGACAAGATTGATTTCGCTGGACTCGAGGTCCCCCACGGCCCGACCTGAGGCACTCCAGCACGACCCCGAGGCGCCCCAGCAGCCGTCGAAATCACCTTTCCTGAAGCAGACCTTCTCGCCGTCCTCGACTGCGGTAGCCCCTGGCTGCCCCTCTGAGCCCACGGGGCGCACGACGAGGCAGCCTCCGCTACAGTCATCGGCCTGACCTAAGGAACGATAAATAAGGAACGAAGCCCCTGTTTTCCAGGGAAAAAAGGCATAAGGAACGATAACTAATAAAACAAAACGCATGAGGAAGGATACGTAACGCATGCAAGCCTTAAAGAACGACCGAGCCCCTTTTGAAAAGTGAGTGTTCCTTACTCAAGCCGCTCACTGCAGGACGCGAGGCGCAGAGGACGTCATCTCCTGCTTCCGGGGGCGGGCGCGCAGGTCGGACTGCGAGCACCGTGAGCGCGCGGCGCGTGCGCACGGCTCGACGGCGACCAGCGCCGGTCGCGAAACGAGCCAGGCCCTCTTCGCGCTGGGAGGGAAAATCACGACCAAGGGTTTTTGCTCATTCCCAACCCTCCTTGGTTAGGTATTCGTTTTGAACAGAGCAGTGTGGTCTCCGCTCCCTTCTTCCCGTCCCGCCTCCCTCTTGCCTCCTCCTGTCTCGCCTGCGGGAAAGTCACGATGAAGGGGCTTTGCTTATTTTCGGCCTCCGGGGGCCCCTGCTGGGCCTCGGGACCGTGAAAGCACGACTCAGGATGCAAAACCGGTCTGGGGGAAGGGGTCGAGGCCTCTGGGCCTCTGGGGATCGACGTTGACGTCGGGGCTTTGGGAAGGGTCAGATCTGACCACTGCGCCGTCGGGGGGGGGGGGCGGGAGGGCCGGAGGGGAATGGGTTGGAGGGGGGCCGGCGGGAGGGGGGCAAGGCGAGCATTTGTCTTGCTGTTCGTCCTCCTTGGCGGGGGCGGAGGGGGAGGCCTGTCTGAGCGAGCCACGGCGTACACTCCAGGCGATGCTTAAGAAAACCCAAGTTTTCGGCCAGAGTCTCGATTATTCTTAACGTTTCAGTGTAAATCCCAAGATTTTGATAGAAATTCTAGGTTTTTATTAAAGTTCTGAGACTATTAATTTCTTAACCCATGATTTCTTAAGCATTTCGCACGGTGTATGGCTCGCCTCATGGGCGCAGTTGTCATGATTTTTTTACGCATCCGCATGCTTGAAGCTGTCTGAGGACCGACGGCGCGGAGGGTTTTATTGTGAAGGCCTTTTGGCCGGCGCCGCCGACCCAGAAGGACGAGGACCACGACGACGACCGCGACGACAACGACAGCGACGAGTTGATGACCCTGCCATAGGCTCGGGACACGAGACGGGCGGTGGAGGGAGAAGTAGGAGGAGGAGGAGGAGGAGGAGGAGGAGGCGGAGGAAGGGCGGTGCAGGAGGAGCGGGAGGGGGAAGGGGAGGGAAAGGGGGAGGGGGAGGGGAGGAGGAGGAAGAGGAGGGGAGGGGGGAGGAGGAGGAGGAGGGAAGAAGAGGAGGAGGAGGAGGAGGAGGAGGAGGAGGAGGCGGAGGAGGAGGAGGAGGAGGAGGAGGAGGAGGAGGAGGAGGAGAGGAGGAGGAGGAGGAGGAGGAGGAGGAGGAGGAGGAGGCGGAGGAGGAGGAGGAGGCGGAGGAGGAGGAGGAGGAGGAGGAGGAGGAGGGGGAGGAATAGGAGGAGGAGGAGGAGGAGGAGGAGGAGGAAGAGGAGTTGGAGGAGGAGGAGGAGGAGGAGGAGGAAGCAAAGAGGAAAAGGTGGAGGAAAAGACGAAGAAGAAGGAAGAGGAGGATGAGGAGGAGGAGGAGAAAGAAGGAGGAGGAGACGCAGGAGGAAAGCCGTCTGTTTCCTCGGGCGCGGGCTGGGGCTGCTGGGAACGGGGCCGAGGATGGGGCCGTGGCCAGGGCTTGGCCCCGGGCTGGGGCCGGAGCCATGGCGGGGGGCTGGTGCCCAAGCCGGGGCCGGGACCCGGGCTGGGGCCAGGGCAGGGAACGGGGCCGGAGTTGGCGAGGGGAGAGGGGTCCTGCCGACAGGGAGACCGCCCCCTTATCCTCCTGCTCGCGGGCGGGGCTATAGGACGAGGACAAGTCTGTTCACGCTCTCAGAGCGTTCCAGAACGTTTTGAGGAGGCCAGGGCGCTCGGGACATCCTCAAGGGCCGCCGGATCCCAGAGATGATTCATGTTCACCCAAGGTTATCCTCGCCTTGGCTCCGTCTGATTCTCCAAAGGCTACCGCCCAGGCTGGGGGTCACGACCCGCCGGGGCCCCCCTCAGGCCCCCTCCCCCCGGGACCCCCCCGCGGGCCCCCCCCCCCACCGGGATCCCCCCGCCCACGGCGGGGAACTTTGATCGTCGGGTGGCTGTAAGTGCGGTAAGAGCGTTCATCTTACATAATCTTAGTTAAGGCATAGAACGTACACTTGTTGATCGCGCATCTCATGTGTGCATATGCAATACTTATGGTGTTTGTAAGTGTAGATGTAAGTAATATACTAAGTTAGATATCTCTGCTAAGTCGATGGGGCTGAACATATTCGTGTTTTTGCTAATCATTTGCGTATTTTTTATTCTTAACTTTTTTGAAATCCATTGAATTTCCGTTGTTGTTGTTGTTCAGTTGTTCAGGACCGAGGCGCCGCAGGTACTTGCTGTACCTCGCGGCCGCGGCGCTGCGGGCTGCGCGCATGCCCGCGGGGAGGGGGGAGGGAAGGAGGAAAATGTTTATCCATGTGTCTTCGGCCCTCCCTTATCCTCCCTTTCCTTCGGCGGCGTACCGCCTTCTCCTCCGTCGCCTCGTCCTCCGTCGGCGGTAAACCGCCTTCTCCCCCCCCCATGGCGGCAATCCGCCTTCTCCCCCTCCGTGGCGGCAAACCGCCCTTCTGGCGGCAAACCGCCTTCTCCTCCTCTGGCGGCAAACCGCCTACCCCTTCTGGCGGCAAACCGCCTTCTCCTCCTCTGGCGGCAAACCGCCTACCCCTTCTGGGGGCAAACCGCCTACTCCTCCTCTGGCGGCAAACCGCCTTCTCCTCCTCGTGGCGGGAAACCGCTTCTTCCCAACCGCCCTATCGGCGGCTTGCTTTGCCGCCTCCTTCCACCCCCTCGGCGGCAAGCCGCCCACCCCTTTCCCCCCTCCCCTCCCTGGCCTCTCCTTGACCCACCCTCCCCCATAGCTCTCTTCTTCCCCCCCGCGCACCCTTCGGCACCCCCTCCCCCGCCCCCCCTTCGACACCCTCTCCCCCCTGCGCCCCCCCTCACCCAGGAGGAGGAGGAGGAGGAGGGAGAGGAGGAAGAGGAGAAGGAGGAGGAGGAGGAGGAGGGGGAGGAGTGGGAGGAGGGGGAGGAGGAGGAGGAGGAGGAGGAGGGGGAGGAGGAGGAGGAGCAGGAAGAGCAGGAATAGGATATGTCCGTCGCACGCGCGTTGGCTCGATCAGTTTTTGGCGAGCCCTCCTCCGAGGGCTTCGGGCGGCGTGCGCGCGCGGGAGTCGCGCACTCCGCTCGGCGCGCGGTCGCGCCGCATCGCTGCCATGGAGGGCATCCTTCGAGGCCGCCTGGAGGAGGCGCGGGCGGCGTTCGTAGCGCGCGGCAGTGCGACGGAGCACCTTCCTGCCTGCATCCAGGCGGCGACGTCCCAGCGCTGGTCGCAGCTCCAGAGTGCGCAGTTTGCTGCTTTGGGCGGCGGCGTGGGGTGGGCGCAGTCCGAGCTGGGAGACTTCTTGCAGGCTCTGTCGTCGGGCAGCCTGCAGGGGAGGAAGCTCCAGAACTACGAGGGGTTCATTGAATTTCTGACGCCTCAGTTGTGGGAGTTCGTGCTCTCGCCGCATTCGGGCTTCACTGCCAAGATGGCGGCGTTCTCAGAGCACCTCGGGGCGCTTGGCCTGAGGCATCCGAGCTGCCCGACGGCCGCCAATATGGCAGCATTCTTGTTGCTGGTGTGCAAGCAGACAGGCGTGGAGACGGGCGAGATCACGAGGGAGCTGTTGCAGTCATATCTGGCCACAGTGAAATCCTCGTTCAAGAATCTCGTGGCGACGATGCCGCCGCCCAGGGATGGCATCCAGGCTCTCCCCATCACGCCTGGGAGGCTCCAGTCTCAGTACCCCATCACGTACGTCGACGCCTTCCCGCCAGGTGTTGGAGCGACGGCGCCGCAGATAAATCCCGTCGAGATGGTGACGATTGCGAAGCTGATTAATCTCCGTGCAGGGAAGAAGAGCGGCCACCTCGCGCTGCCCGCGCCTGCGCCCGCCCGCGGCGGGCTGCAGCCATCCCACGGCCCAGGCGGCGGCTCTCCTCAGCAGCACCTCCCCATCGCGGCGGCCGATTCGTTCTCTGGGCGCTGGCCGACGGCTCCACGGGGAATAACAGAACGCATTCCCCCGCGGGACACCTGGTATTGGGTCGAGGGGTGGGTTCCTGGATCGGCGCGGGGCACGTTTCTGGATGCCTGGATGGAGGGCGTGTTGTGAAATATTCCCCCCCCCATCCCCCTAGGGGGATGGGGGGGGGGGGGGAATATTTTCGTTCGGCGGTGATCCGCCTGATTTCAGGTGGGGCTTTCGCGCAGCGGCGGCCGCTGGCCCAACCCAGCCATCCAGCTGATCGACCGCTCGCAGACGCAGCAGCCGCAGGAGCCGTTGCAAGAACGAGCAGGTTCGAACCACCAGCTTTCGATGGCGGCGGGGAGTTCGGATGCGCCGTCGACGCAG